CCTTAAAAGGAACCCGGTTCGAGTCGATGGAAAAGGTGAAGCGAAAATCGACGGAGCTCCTAAATGCTCTTACAAAAGAAGACTTCCAGCATTGCTTTGACCAATGGAAAAAACGAATGGAACGGTGTGTGGCGAGGGGAGGGGAGTACATTGAAGGGGAGCATTCAATTGTAGAATAATTTTTAAAATAAAACTCTTTTTCATAAGCAGTCTCGTTATTTAATAGCCAGACCTCGTAGATATTGGAAACTATGTGAATAAAATTAACAGGTAATTAAAATAACGAAAATCATTATATGAGATCTATTATAAACCAAAATAATGAATGTAGAGAAGTAATAAATGCATAAATATCAAGGTAGTTAGATGTCAAATGGTAATTATTAGTTGTTGTATTATAATATAATAAGCATGATATAGTAAAATGTAGATATCACTTAAAGTTTATACAGAAGAATATATATATAAGTCTTGGATATGCATAATAATAATAATAATTACCTTTCAGATTTACGATAAACTAGAATTAGAGTTGAAGTTGATCAGCGCAAGAAACAGCGTATGTGATAGAATTAGATTCAGTGTTGGATCTGCATCTGAGACAGAGGAATAGGACGTCTTAACGTGACGAGTGCTCGGAGACAACTATGCTCCGCAACGACGAGTTACCGTCTTCGAATCTCAGGTAAGACAATGAAAGTACTGCGACAATCAATCGAGTGTCTATTCTTTTATTTAAACAATAAAATAATTATTCTGCAACTTTAAATTTCGATTTTTTTTTGTCTTTCTAATTTCCTTCTTTTATCTTATAAAGCAGTAGATTAGTTCCGTTATTATATATATATATATATATATATTACCCACTGAATGCACCCATTGAGTCTGCTCCGATACGTTCTGATTTGAAAAATAAATAGTTTTTTAGGTTGACCACATGTTATGTGATGTATAAATAAAATTTGTAGTCAATAATGTAAATTGCTATACATGCTCCAAAATTTAAATAATTTTCTGACATATCATTCGAAAATGTTTAAAAGACGTCTAAAAGACGTTTTTGGAAAAGTTTTAAAGACGTTTATATCTAGTACTACAACCGCTCGCTGAGCGTTTAATAAACTCTTGCACCTGTTTGGTCCATGGAATTAGACAAGAGGATCAATTCTGTATCTTGAAACAAGGTGAAAATTAAAAAAGTGAGTAAATTTACTAGGTGTTTACCAATGAAATTATCAGTGTTCTAATAAATTCGTTCACTTTTGTAATTTTCACCTCGTTTCAAAATGCAGAATCGAGGTATTTTATTGCGCATAATATAGTGGTAGGACCAATTAAAAATCGTCCCTAAATGTTAGCGCAACTTTCATTTTTTAAAGATGTGAAATATGTCAAATATATGTTTTACAATATATCAAATATATAAAAACTTGAAAAAATAAAATTGAATCAGAAAATCTTTTCTACATAAAGCAAAAATAGCCGCTCTAATTTTATTTTTTTAAATAAAATTATTAATGAGCTCCTCCATATTTAACTTATCGATCATTTCATGTGAAAATCTTTGTTTCTCAAAGTGGCAATGTGCTGATATTTTTTTAGCTTGGCTAGGTACGTCTTAATATCCTCTCCCGCCATCTGCATTCTTTGAATTTATAACGCTGCGATATTACATTTGGCTGCGGTTGTAGGTGATTTTGTCTAATTTCCGCAAGACGCTCCATTGTAAGATTTGCCGGCTTTTCCAGTATGTGCAGAGAAGATAACCTTCACTTCCCACTAACGTAATAAAAAGCAATACTTGCTTTTCTTTCGGCACATCGTTACCTAAGAAGTAGTGCGTTAATCTTTCGAACCATCTCGTCCAATCCTCTTTTAATGAAAACTCGGACATATTGCCTACGATCCCTTTTACAATGGTGCTGGAACCTCGTAGTTCTTCTAGACGCCGCCTCTAATTCCGCTCTCACTTTTGCTAGTTGTTGACTCTCATCGCCAACAGGCTTCTCTGATGCTTTTATTGTTTCGCCCTTTCCGCTAAAACTCTTTCTCGTTCCTCCAGTTCTTTCTGAAGTTTTAACAAATCCGTTGTCGACATTTTGTTACTTAATGTCCCTGTGACTGCAAACGATTTTGTTACTTTCATTCCACACGCTGAATTCCTTCACTACGACGTTCTTGTACTTTACAATGACCATCACTTATCCTCATCGCCAATGTAATGTTTGCACTCTTCGGAAAGGTCACCACACAAATAAATAGGCAGGACATATGTATATGCAGGCTTTTTATATTTTCTTATAGTATCTCATATTATTCCTGGCACCGCTATTACATTACAGGCGGGAGTTCTTTTCCTGCTTCTCTTACGCTCATTACGCCATCTCACAACAGCATCGCTCGGGAAGAAAAGAAAATACTC